GCCAGATGTGCAGGCTGGATTTAGAAGAGGTCATGGTACTTGGGATATTATAGCTAATGTTAGAAGGATCTTGGCAGAAAGCAAAGAACACCAGAAGAGTGTCTGTCTGTGCTTCATTGACTATGCAAAGGCTTTTCACAGTGTGGATCACAACAAGCTATGGCTGACTCTGAGAAGAATGGGAATCCCAGAACATTTGATGGTGCTAATGTGAAACCTATACTTGGACCACGAGGCAGTCATCAGAACAGAGCAAGGAGACACTACATGGTTCAAAATCAAGAAGGGGGTCCATCAGGGATGTATTCTGTCTCCATACCTTTTTCAATCTGTATGTAGAAAAGATCATCTGAGACACTGGGCTGTACGAGGAGGAATGTGGCACCAGAATTGGTGGAAGAGTCATCAACAACCTGTGTTATGTAGATGACACACCCTGATTGCTGAAACTGAAGAGGACCTGAAGTGCTTGCTGCAGAAGGTCAAGGACCGCAGCCTCCTATATGGATTGAAGCTCAACATCAAGAAAACAAAGATTCTCCCCACTGGGCCAATTGGCAGCATCAGTATGGATGGTGAAAGAGTTAACAAGTTTAGTTTACTTGGCTCCACAGTCAACACTCTTTGTAACAGCAGCCAGGAAATCAGGAGATGAATTGCATTGGGAAAGTCACCTGTGAGGGACCTCTCAAGAGTACTGAAGAGCAACGACGTTAGGCTGGAGACTGAGGTGTGCCTAATCCAGGCTATAGTCTTTGCAGTTACATGCTATGCATCAGAGAGTTGGACAGTGAAAAGGGATGATAGAAAGAGAATTGATGCCTTTGAGTTGTGGTGCTGGAGAAGAGTGTTGAATATACCATGGACTGCTAGAGAACAAACTTGTTTGTCCTGGAGAGAGTGAAGCCGGAATGCTCCTTGTAGTCAAGGATTCTGAAGCTTCATCTGACATACTTTGGGCAAATTGCAAGGAGGGACTGGTCCTTGTAGAGGGACATCGTGTTTGGCAGAGTGGGGTGGTGGCGAAGGAGAGGAAGACCTTCGATGAGACGGATTGATGTGACTGGAGTGGTGGGAATGAGTGTGTTTGAGATGGCTAGGTTGGCACAGGATAGAACGGCGTTTAGGGATCTTGTACATACGGTCACTATGAGTCGCAAGTGACTCAATGGCATGCAACAACAACAACAACTATTCAAATCCACCAGCTGATCTGTGAGAGAAGGATTGACAATCTCATCCCATGTGATTAACTGCCTCTCAAAACCCACTAGAAAGTCAGCTATGAGTTGGTCTAACTTGAAAGTATACAACAAGAAAGCAAAACATATATGAATAATTGAAAATATCAATATCTCTTATAAATTTCCACTTAAATAAAAAGAAAGAAAAGAATGTCAAAAGGGAGAGGAAAACACAGATGTGCATAATTTACTGTGATTGTATAAAAATATTCCTGACCATATTAATATAGCCTCATGCAGGCTCACTAATGACTTTTTTATCATGACTTCGATTTTGCAAAAATAGGAAGAAAACATTAAAAATCTCATTAATAACATTAAACATTGCTTTGTATAATGCACGAAGATTAATTTCTCAGCTTAGAAGGGAGTCAATGTGCAACTGAGATGATCGGCTTCCTCCAATATATATTACTTTAATGACAAAGATCAAATAAAGATTTTTCCCAAAAAAAGAACCTTCATAGTTCTCATCTTCCAAGATTAAGCATGAAGAGAAAGAGTTGCCAAGACCTTTTAATAATTGAAATATGGAATGTATGTGATATGAATCTGGGAAGTTGTCAAAAACAAAGCGAAATGTATAAGGGTCAAAATCCTAGGCATTATTGAGCTGAAATGGCCTGGTATGGGCCATTTTTAAT